TTTTCTCAAGATTAGAGTACTTTCTGGAAAACTCTAGGGAAAGTCATGATGCAATTTTGCATAGAAAAGTAGGTCATGATTTTTCTAATGACCTAGTACTTTCTTCAGTCCTTACAAAAGCACTGATTTACACATCTTAAGAATGATCTAAGCTGGAAGGGACTTTAAAGATCACATCTTACCCTCTTTCAAATAAAAATTAAGACCACAGAAGTTGAAAGATTTGTCCTAAGTTCTAAGATTTAGCAGGGAAAGCTGTACTAGTTATTTACTGCTGCAAAACAAATGACTTGAAAGAACACAGAGCTCACAGTTCTGTAGCTTCCATGTCCAACACTGCATCACCAGGTTCTCTGCTCAGGGTCTGACAAGGCTGAATCAAGGAGTCAACAAGTTTGAGTTCTCATGTGGAGGCTCTGGGGAAGAACACATTCCCAAGCTCATTCTTGTTGGGAAGATTCAGTTCCTCTCAGTTATAGGACTTCCTTGCTAGTCATTGACCAGGGACTTAACTCATGGTCCCCTCCATCCTTGTAAAAACAGTGCATCAGGTCCTCATGCTTCAACTCTGACCTGCTGCTGCTACCATCAGCTAAAACTCTGTTTCTAAGGTCTCATGCAGTTAGATTAGGCCTGCCCTTACAATCTCTTTCTTTTTATCAACTCTGTATGTAACATTTACCACCATGTGATAATGGCAGTAAAATCCATGAGATGATAAAGGGTGTGCACATGAGATGGTGGAGAAGCAAATCTTGGGAGACGTAGAATCTTGCCAACCCATGCAAGGATTTTAGAACCTTATGGACATTATTTGATATCAACCTTACACTCACCATCTCTGCAACTGGGAAAAGCATTAGATTTTTTTTTCTTTTTTTGGAGAGGTTTTTGCTATAGGGCGCATGCGCTCGCCAGACAGAGAGAGACAGACAGAAAGTGAGAAATCACCCCCCAGGGGGGATGGTCATGCTGCAACCCCTTCTCCATTTTCCTCTCGGGATCTTGGGCACGCACGCACACGCACCCGGCGTGAGTTTTAAGCCACTGGGTCCGAGACGCGAACCGTGGTCAACTATGTGGGAGTCCAGCAACATAGCCATTACGCTAACTGCTGGTTCCCAAAGCATTAGATTTTATTGGACCTGTTTCTTCATCTATAGAATGAGAATCATGGATACCCCACAGGGCTTTCGTCAGGGTTAAAGAAATGTATGTGAGAATGCTTTTAGGATCTAAGGCACTACCTGGCAGGGTCAAATCGAAGTACTGTGCACAAACATGTGGCACCACTAGACTAGAAAACCCTTAAAGTTAGAGGCTATGTTCTCCGTGTGACAAGACCAGGGGCTACCTCCCCTGCGGTAGGAGCCTATTTTTAGTCACAATAAGATGGAAGTTGAGGACACCAAGAAACAGCATATAAAGGACTTCGAATGGCCATTATTTCCTATCCAAGATAATGCTAAGCCGTATTTAGATATGGACTGCCACTAGCCCTTGGCTGAAGGTGGGATTTGTTCAAGTGACTGAACAGTCCTGTCCCCCAACACCCAAGCATGGCTCACTGTGTAGTAGGTCGAGGCCTCACTCAGAAGGTCTGTCCTGTGGGTTAGAGCAAAGTGTCGCAGAGATGACCAGGCAAGAATTTCAGCCAGAGCACAGCCTGGCTACCTCTCCTTGTTTCTGAACATTCCTTTAGGGCAGAAATTGTGAGTTATGATAAAACATCTCATCATAACTCAAGTGAGAACACTGAGGGGAAAGAGTCTCTGTTGTGTGAAAGAACCACTGAATAAAAGCCAGCACTAGCATCTGTAGGAGCCCATTTTTCTCTTCCTCCAGCGTGGCTTAGTTTCTGAGACAAACAACAGACCTTGATATAACTTGCCAGATCATGATTACAGTACAATAGCTCTGTTTTCCCCTTAACCTGAGAAATCATTATGTGAATGCTTCCCTCAGCCCATTCTTGCTAAGTACACAAAATAGAACACAGAGCTAGGCGTATAATAGGTATTCCAAAAAGCATTTGCCGAATGAATGGATGAAAACAAGCCCCGTTCTCTTCTCTCCTACGCACCACTCTTTATACATCTGTGTTTCTCACTTTATTGGTTTTGTTTGCTGCCTTCTGGGCAGATTTGATGAGCAGGTAGTAAAGCTTAGCTACACTTAAGGGTGCCAGCTCCAGCAGCCCCTAGAAATTCTGAGCCAGCCTGTCACATTGAAGACTAGAAATAGTCATGTGGTCGAGGGAGTGAGGAGCACCCTGGCCATCTGCTGCCTCTCCTCTGGGGAGCTGAACTGAAGGAACTCAAAGTTAATGAGCTCTCTGGCTCGTGTAGTCATGCACAGTCTGAGTCGGCATCTGGTCCATTTTGGAAGATAAACACCCACTTGAGATGCCTGAGAGGCAGCAGCATGTGGGAACACAGGTGAGTCTGACAGTGTGGCCAATACTCGCTGATTCGGGACCTGGGTGAGCATTCAGGAAGTGGGGCTATTAGTGAGTAGGTTGCTGTGGAGCACTTGGCATGGCAGAACTGGTGAGAGGATTTGTGTACAGGAGGCCTTTGTGTCCAGCATGCTAAGGATCAGAGTCTGATAATGATTTTAAGTTGCTATATGATTTTAAATCCATATACTGGTTATTTACCCATCCTTTAATCTGATGCATATTTTCTCTGAAGGATAGTTTTATTGAGCTTTTCTTTCTGTAGTTAGAATTATAAAATCAATGAGAATATATTGACTATCCCCGTCTCAATAATTTCATGATTTCCCTTATTTCCACCTGCTACACAAAGCAAGATTGTAGAGGCTCTGCCGAGTACTAGGAACCACTCGTCGGGGACCAGATGGTGGCGCAGCGGTAGAACACTGCACTGTGAGCCAATTTCACGTGGAAGGTTCCTGGTTCAAGTGTGGAGACCTCCTGGAGTACACTGTGTGTGTGAGGGGTGTGTGTGTAAGTACCCATCCTTGATCCAGGGTGGCCAAAGGCTGGGCTGAACCCTGGAGTGTACTAACCCGTCAAAGATCTTGCTGCAGGTGCTTGCTCTCTCTTTTTCACTCATGGAAGGAATAAATAAATTGCAAGGAATCATTTGTCTGGAATATAAGATATGTGAGTTACAGTCGTAGTGCAGAAGTAAGATTGCTGGACTGCAGACTTGATGTCAAGAGTCCTGCTGTTCAGTTCTTGATACTGCCTAAATCATCAGCCCACTTTCACACAGTGTTGGATTAAATTTAATTTGAGATCAATTGAAATTAGCTGGCAAATAAAAGAACAGAGATCATGTTAAAACTTTCCTGATGGATTGTGTTCAAGCGTTTTGCACTCACAGCAGACCAGAATGGATTCAAAGCACAGAGCAATTATAGCACATTTATGCTGCAGAATGCCACACCGTAAGTCCCTGTTCCTGAAAAAGGTCATTCAGCTGCCAGCTGGCAGATGCCAGTAGGAGTCCCCACTGCACCCTGGGTCTGAGCTGTTCTCACATTGCTCTAGATGACTGCTCTGGGGGCCGAGGGCTAAATGACCTTAATTTTGGATACCAGTGTGACACGAAAGAATTAAGTAGTTAGAAAGCATTGTTAATCTCCTCCCACTATTATACAGAGTAAAAGACCAAATAAAATAGGGATTTAGCAGGTAAGTATTTTATCTTGACCAGATAAAATACCCATCTCTACTGCTAGCTACTTAGTAGGTGTGAGTTGATCTTTTCTTTATTTTTGGTGGGAAGACTTTTCCCTAAAATCTTTTGAGTCTGGAAGAAACCTGAGAGGTTATCTGTTTCTCTGCTATGTAAATTACTATTATTTAGTTTGCTATACAATGTGTTTGCTGGCCCAAGACACACACACACACACACACACAGAGAGAGAGAGAGAGAGAGAGAGAGGGAGAAATTAAAAAATCAACCCTCAGTGGGATGACCATGACACAATCCTTCTCCATTTTCCTCTTGGGAGTTCAGGCATGCACACACACGCCTTACATGTTTTTCAAGCCCCCAGGTCTGGGACTTAAACCACACAGTCCACCACATGGGATCTAGCTGCCTTAGCTGCCATGTCACCTGCTGGCCCCATTGTTGTTATTTTTAATTGCCAGAGAGCAGGAGAAAGCCCCCTCCCCCACAACGGGAGCGTGTTTACCTCATAAAGCCTTCTCCATTTCTCCCTCTTGTCTGGATTTGGGGCACACATGCACACATACACATGTTTTTCAAACCACTGGGCCTGTGATTCGAACCATGAGTGGCTATGTGGGATCCCTTTCCTCTAACTGCTAGGCTTGGGAGCCAGCCCCCTACCGTTAATTTACTCACTGGGCAGGTAATCACTGGGTACCTACTATGACTCAGGCACTGGCCTCTACGTTTGAACTGCAAATAAGATCAGTGTGATCTTCGCCCTTATATGAAGTTTGGCTAAGACATGTTCTAAGGACAAACCTAGTCTAGGGAGGTGACATTCTCTAAGGAAATTATATTTTAGGTAGTAACTAAAGAGAGGTGAGTTAACGAGGAGAGGGAGGGTGAAGAGGGAGAAGAGAGGGAGAAACTCCAGGCCAGAGGAAGAACCACATTTATGTAAGCTAATTCTCATTAAATTGAAAAAAATCAAGACAATTTCTAAAAGAAAACGGATATTCTAAGTGGAGAAGGCAAAAGTGAGATCTCAGACTTGGATCGATCTCATTTCTTTTACTGAGAACTGTACCATCTTGTGGTAGCTGTGTGTCACTGCATATGTTTTGTCAACAGGTTTTCTTAGAATTGTGCTTTTTCAGCAGAAGATCCCAGTTTCAGAAAACTATTCTGTTGGCTCCCACCTTAATAGAGAAGGGTATCATTGATTATTTTCTTCTATGGACCTGTAATTTGAAAGGTATCTGTCAAAAATACACTTGTGTTTCTCTTTTTTCTAACTAGATTATCAGCACATTCTCTAAGAAAAGTTACATCATTGGTTGCAATGTTAAGTTGATAAAATTTCATTATAAACTAAAGAAGGGCTGGTCCTGTGGCCTAGCCACACATGCCCTCTGGCAATAAAAAAAATACAGAGAAATTTTTTGTTTTACTTAGCTGTACCAAACTCCAGCTCTAGTTTAGTAAAGTCATCTTCCTGTGTGAATTCCTTCATCTGAAAGTGGAAATGAAATATTTAACAGCACCTACGTCATTAAGTAACTTTAAGGACAAATGAGCCTGCTTAGTGAATTCTTATGTTCCTTTTCTAGCCTTTTAATGAGAAAAGGCTTGCTTTTTAAACTTACTGATCCCCATTTCATAGAAGGTCCTTTGGGAATCCAGGACTCTCAGTCTTGGAGTCTAACCCCAATCTAGTTCAACCTTCTTACTTTACAGATAAGGAAACTAAGACCCCAAAGGAAAGGAGTGACTTCATTTCTGCCCTTGCTCTTAAATCATTTATCAATTTATTCATAGTCCTTATAAAGAAGCAGTTAGGGTGGGACCAGCAGTTGGCACAATGGCTATGTCGCTGGACTCCCACGTAGTCAACCGTGGTTCGAGTCCCAGACCCGGTGGCTTAAACTCACGCTAGGCACTTGTGTGTGTGTGCCCAAGATCCTGAGAGGAGAATGGAGAATGGACTGCAACGTGGTCATTCCCCTGGCGGGGGGAGGGGGGGAGGTGATTTCTTCTTTCTATCTCTCTGTCTTTCTCTGTCTTACTGGCGAGCGCACGTGCCCTATAGCAAAAAAACTCTCAAAAAAAAAAAAAAAAAAAAAAGAAGAAGCAGTTAGTGAAAATAAAGTCTGATATTTCCCAAGTAAAAAAGAAGCCCAATGTGGTAGAAGAGTGTGCAAGAGAGAGATGGCTGTGCAGTGAGCTGAAAAGGCAGCTGGCACACAGCTCCCACGGCCTTCTTGACCATTTTAACCTTCTTGGGCCTTGTTCTAGGACCAGGGGAAAACAATAAAGAATGTCAATTACCAATTAAAATTTGGAAACATTGACAACTGCATTTTTAAAAAAAATTTATTTCTTCTGTGAGATATAGCACTTCCAACAGGGTCTTTTTTTTTTTCTAAGAATTATTTAATTATTTTAAAATTTGGTATATGGTACATGCACTCACCAGAGAGAGACAGACAGAGAGAGAGGGAAAGTGAGAAAGCAAGCCACCAGGCCCGGGACTCAAAACTGCGGTCAGCCATGTGAGAGTCTAGTGCCTAATTATCCTACCACCTACTTACCCCTCCCAACAGGGTCTTGATGCCATGATCCACCCCCAGCCTTAGCCAGCCCCCAATCCACCCCTTGATCATGGGCACCATGAGGGCTTCAGATGTGAGCCTGGAACCTTCCCAGGTAGGTCACCTTCACAAAGCATCTTGTTTTACCACTGTGTGACTGTTTCTGGCCCCTGATGTTAAAATTTTTCATCCTTACATTTGAGATACTGGAATCACACTTTTTTTTTTTTTTTGGTAGTTTTTGTTATAGGGCATGTGTGCTCACCAGAGAAAGAAAGAGAAAAGTGAGAAATCACCACCCCTCAAAGGAGATGGCCACACCACAATCCCATCTCCTCCACACTCCTCTCAGGATTTCAGGTATGCATGCACACACATCTGGCATGACTTTCAAGCCACTGGGTCCAGGACTCAAACTGTGGAGTCAGCCATGAGGGATCCAGTTGCCTTAATCTCGACACCACCTGCTGGACTCTTAAATCACACATTTAAAATTGTGAGTGTAGAACATGGTGACATGGTGGTTGAGGCAACTAGACTCCCACATAGCTGACCATGATTTGCATCCTGGACCTGGTAGCTTGCTTTTTCACTTTCCTTCTCTCTCTCTCTGGTCAACCTGAAAAATAAATAAATAAATAAATAAATAAATAAATAAATAAAATAATGACAATGAATAAAATTAAATAAAATAATTCTCAGAAAGAAAAAGTTGTGAGTGTATTATTGTGTAAGCAGACAAGAAAATTGACTAGAGCACCAGAAACAAAAACAGTCAGACTAAGAAGACAAAAGAGATTTAAGTTGGAGATGGAGGGAAGTTCTTTTTTTTAAAGATTTTTGCTATAGGGTGCATGTGCTTGCCAGAGAGACAGAAGAGAGAGAGAAGGAAAGTGAGAAGTCACCCCTCTAGAGAGGATGGCCATGCTTCAGTCCCTTCTCCTCCATTCTCCTCTCAGGATTTTGGCACACACATACATGTACCCAGTGTGAGTTTCAAACCACCGGGTCCAGGACTCCAACTATGATTGGTCATGTGAGGGTCCAGTGCTTTAACCAACATGCTACCTACTGGTCCCGGAAAGTTCTTGACTAAGCGTGACACTGGACATGTTACTGACGAGTCTCTATCCTGGAAAAACTTAATCTGGACAGCGGTATTCTTAGGATAGAGTGTTAGTGAATCTGAATGTTTTAAAACTGTCCCATGTAAGATGAAGAGTTAAACTGTCTAAACAGTTTTTCAAATGTTTTAGATATTAGGATTTCTTGTCCTATTTTATTTTTTAAAAATTCCTGCAGTTTGGGAAAAAAAAAAAAAAAACATTGGATTTAGAGTATATCTCATTCTAGCTGTAAGTCAGTGATCCCAATAATACTGTCTTAGATTTATCTTATATTTATCCAGTCCATATCTCTCTCCTGTGTTCCAGAACCCTACATTTAACTATTAGACACTTCTACTTCTTATCCCACAGGTACCTCAAACTTAACATTCTAAAACTCAGTTCACTCTTTTGCCTTCAGACTGCTGCTTCTAGCTGAGTGAACGTAATAACCACCATTTTTTGTTAGCTGAAGTCAGGAACTGGGGCATTTGTCTTTGATGTCTGTTTCACCTCTGCCCACTGGCCATCTGTCTTGGCACTTGGGTCAGTACACTCTTCTCATTTCTGTTACAGTTATCCCCACTCCCTCGCATCCTCGGCAGCACAGCTGCACCTGCCTCCTGAAGATCTCTGCTTAGTCTTGATCACCTCTAGCCCATCTTCTATGCTGGCCTCAAGTGAGCTTTCTAAATGCAAGTCTAATCATGTTACTGCCTCTTCAAATGCCTTTATTTCCCACATCTACCAAAAGCCCAACTCCTTAGGGTGGTTGCGGGGTGCTTTGTGAGCTCATCTAGTACCTCTCCTCCACCCCCATCTTGCTCAGTTCGTGAGCCTAGTGCAGACTGCATGCTTTGTCAAGGATGCTGAGCCCTCTCCACCTTCGCTGCGCTGCTGGCTTGACAGAATGTGCCCTCTTTCCTCAGCCTCATGATTTAGCTCAGTCATTCTCCAGAAAGCTTTCTCCCATCCTCTACACGCTGAGTGTAGCCTGAGTCAAGTGCCCATTCCATGAAAAGGATGGTATAATTGTATTTTGTAGTCCACAAATTGTTTTTTCATAATCATCTAATTCTTTTCAAAAGGTGAGAAGATAGATTCAAATTCACTTTATAGATGAAGCTTAGGGAATTAACATCTAAGGTCATACACTGGTTAGTGATGGAACTGACTTATAGTCAGAGAGTATACCTTGGTCTTCTGGCTTCTAGTGTGTGCTTTTTCCCTCTACCTCACTGAAGCCGAGGAGAGAGCAGAGAGTGTGTATTCCAGATCATGACACCCCCTGCCACGGAAACAGACCATCCCACCCGTTTACCTTCTCTGTTCACTCGGATCTGGCCCAGCCGCAAACCTGAGTATGTAGCCCGGCATTTTGGGCTGGAGAACGCATTTTAAACTGGGCATTAGTGTCATTTCTCCTGATATTTCTGGAAGTGCTTTTAGAAATGAAAGCAAATTAACCAATGACTTTGTTGATTAATTAATGCTGACTGATTAATGTTGGAGGGCACTTTGAAATAGTCAGATGAAAGAGGTCAGATAAGGACAGTGGGAACAGAACATTTTCCTGATATTCCAGGCCCTGTGCTTGGGGTCCTTGTGGAAAATTTATATTCAGAATAGAAAACGGGAGAGAATGTTTCTTTGAAAACACTAGTGTTCTGTTTGAGGTAGCAGCCTGAAAGCCTGTGTTGGATGTCAAGACTGGGAAGAACTCAGATTTCCCCCCAAGATTTTCCCCTTTGGACTGAATTGTGTTCCTCCCAAATTTATTAGGTCTTTGAGGAAGTCAAAGACATGTTTTCCTAAGCAAAAATGTGTCATTACTTTCCCAACGACTCAATTTACACTGAAGTCCAAGCCTCCAACATGACTGCATTGGAGATAGCTGTTAGGAGGCAAATAAGGTAAATAAGGTCATAAGGGTAGAGTCATCATCTGGTAAGATTAATAGCTTTGGGCCAGCAGGTGGCATAGTGGTTAAGGTGCTGGACTTCCACATGGCCAACCATGGTTTGAGTCCTGGACCTAGGGACTTGATTTCTCACTTACCCTTTCTCTCTCTCTGGTCAAAGTAAAAAATAATAATAACAAGATTAAATAAATAATTCTTTTTTTAAAAAGTTGTGACTTTATAAGATATTCTCTTTATATTCTCTCATAGGCAATAAAGAAACATCAACTTCCTTTTTTAAGGTTTTTTAAAGGCATTTTTCTTCTTCTTTTTAATCTGTAGGGTTTGGGGCATGCATGCACACACACCTGGCATGTTTCTCAAGCTGCCAAGTCTGGGACTCGAATTGTGCAGTTAGCCATGCAGGATCCAGTGCCTTAAAATAAAAAGAATTTTACTTAACTTTATCTATTTATTTAAATTTGCCCAGAGAGGGACATAGTGAGAAAGAGAGAGAGAAAGTGAGAAAGCAAGCCACCAGATTTGGGACTCAAACTGCAGTCGGCCATGTGGGAGTCCAGCACCTTTAACCACCATACCACCTGCTGCCGCCCTCCCCTCCTTTTTAAAGGTTTTTCTTATAGGACATGTGCGCTCACCAGAGGGAGAAAGAGACAGTGAGAGGGAAAGTGATAAATCACCCTCCAGGGAGATGGCCATGCCTCAATCCCTTCCCCTCAATTATCCTCCTGGGATTTGGGGCATCCACACACAAGTGGCCAGCGTGATTTTCAAGCCTCCTGGTCCAGGCCTGAACTGCAGTTGGCAAACCAACTTAGCATTTGGTTTTAATTAGGTATAGAAATATGTCCCATTCCTCCCTTAGTGGAGGAGAGATGGGCTTACTCCATCTTGTGCAGAACCAGAAACTGACTTTTGAAGATCTCAGAAGATACATTCCTGTCATCTTAAGTAGGTCTTAATGGAGTAGACAGTTGTAGTATCAATTCTGAGGTGATTAGAAGCTGTTTCTTCGTATGTCTGATCATGTGAAGTAGGGATTATTATACTTGATTAACAGAAGATAAAACTAAATTGAAGGATAAGGGAGAAGGATGAAATCTGAGGATCCTTTGTGTACATAAAAAAGCTAAAAGATAAATTACATTGCAATTTTTTCACACTTAGAAAGCCACCCTGCCTTGTGCTTCACAAAGCTAAGTAAGCCCTAGCCTCCTTACCAGTTAGTTTCCTGCATCTCTCTGACCTTCACTGCTAGAGAAAGAGGTGCCAAACTTTCTTGCAAAAGGCCATCCTCTACCTGCTCCAAATCTCATTCCCCCTTGAAGATAGCACTTTCTTTTTCTTTCTTTTCTTTTTTTTTTTTTTTTGAGAGGTTTTTGCAATAGGGTGCGTGCGCTCACCAGACAGAGAGAAACAGAGAGACAGAAAACGAGAAATCACCCCCAGGGGGGATGGCCACGCCTCAATCCCTTCTCCTCCATTCTCCTCTCGGGATCTTGGGCACGCACGCACACGTGCCCAGCGTGAGTTTTAAGCCACCAGGTTCGGGATGCAAACCGTGGTCGACTACATGGGAGTCCAGCGACATAGCCATTACGCTAACTGCTGGTCCCGAAGATAGCACTTTCTAACTTCCTACCTCATTCCTACATATTCAGTCTCTTCCTGTTGGATCTTTGCCTTACACTATAAGAGTGATGAGGACTACCATCCTAAAGATGTTGTTCTCTGACCTTTTCTTCCTGTATAGCCTGTCAACCTGAAGTAGAGAAGTCCGAAGCTGTCAAAGAAGCAAACAATGTAGTCATGCCTGATCTCAAGGAGTGCTGCTGGGAACAAGGCTTCAGGAACCTGTAACCAATGCTCCAAAATGGCAAAGTTTGCAGTTTTCTTGTATTGGTAAAAGGAACAGAAGGAACACAGTGGGAAGAGAAACATTAACAAAAAGTAAAAACTACGAAATTGTTTTTAGGAATTTACATGATTCATATTACTTAATGATTTTTGGTATTATCATCTAGATATTGCTTCAAGGTTGAATTTT